ACACTTAAATGTTGTCGCTTAAATAAAATACTCTAGTTCTCATAAAAAAATACTCTCCTGCTTTTGATCTACTAGAGAGAAACAAAAACAATGAGAATAATAAAGAACAATAAAAGAAAAGCTACACTTTCGACATTATTTACGAATGAACAGAAAAACCATTTTATGTGATTTTGTTTGTAATGTTGATGTGTATTTGTCTATTCTTTGTAAAGTACATATAGGGACTAGAGTAATTTGCAAACTCACCCTTATTTTTGTCATTCGGTTTCATATTTTGGCTGTGGAAACAAGTTAAATTAAAGAAGTAAAAGTGTATTTGTATGTTTAATATTAAAATAATTAAAAATTGTGTGCATTTAATAAAATTTAAAGTTTAAAGGTAAGTAAAATGAGTGGTGGAAGTGTAAGTAAGAGGCATATACGAAGATTAATTTCTCAGAAAAAAAGAGAATTTGTCCACAATTTGAATGATGTTGAAGCGCAAAGTGTAGAAAATAGTGGTGGAATAAATCATATAGATTCTGAAAAATTAGCGGCAGCATTTGAAAATGTGGACAATGAGATCAGTAGTTCTCTTAGTGAAAAATTTAAGGAATGGATTATTCGGAATAGACCAAGTAGAAAATCAGTTGAAGAATTATTGGCTATACTTAAAGAAGAAAATTTAGAAGTTCCTCTTAGTATGAAAACACTAATACCCAACAGGGAAAAAGCTTTGATAAAGCAGGTCTCGCCAGGTGTATATTCACATTTTGGTGTTAGGAAACAATTGGAATCAATTGGTTCTGTGGTAACGAACTACGAAGAAATCATAGTCGATGTAAATATCGACGGACTGCCGCTTTTTAAAAGCTCCAGAACACAGTTGTGGCCAATATTATTGCGAGTTGTAAATATTAAAAATATTTCTATACTTCCAATTGGAATTTATCTTGGCAATAATAAACCAAACGATATAACCGAGTATTTTGCAGACTTTATTTTCGAAATGAAAAATTTAATTGAAAATGGCATAGAATTTGAGGGAAAGTTAATAAAATTAAAAATTAGGGCAATAGTTTGCGACTCCCCGGCCAAAGCTTTTATTTGTGGTATTTTTGGACACACATCTTCCCACGGATGCACCAAATGCGTTCAAGTGGGCAGAAAAATTAATAAGGTGCTTACTTATTCTACCGAGTCCGGGGTATTAATATCTGATAAAGATTTGAGGAAAGAAAATATCAAAATCATCATAAAAATATATTTCTTTCTCAAAGAACTCCACTGGAGGATTTAGGAGTCAAAATGGTTAGTCAAGTGGCAATAGATAGTATGCACCTTGTGGATTTAGGCATAATGCGAAAAATGATGTTAAGAATAGTTCATAATAAACTAGAGTTTAATATTTCGAAGGACCAAATTTCTAAAATTTCAAGGCATTTGGAATCATTACATTCTTTTATTTCAAAAGAATTTGTTCGTCGGCCTAGAAATTTGGTGGAGATAGCAAATTTTAAAGCAACAGAATTTCGCCAAATATTACTGTATACAGGAATACTTATTTTTAAAGAAAATGTACCAAATGAGGTTTATCATGAGTATCTCCTTTTGCATTGTGCTTGCAGATTGTTGTCGGCACAAAAGAACTTGGAACAAAATATTAATGTGGCTCAAAATATGTTAGAGGAATTTGTAAAAGACTTCGCGTTTGTATTTGGTGAGAATTCAATTTCCCATAACGTTCACAATCTTTTACATTTAGGTGAAAGTGTGAAAAAGTTTGGTATTCTACCAAACTTCTCAGCGTATGATTTCGAAAATTATTTACAAGTTTTAAAAAATTATATTAAACAACCTAATAAAATAATTCAACAAATATTTAATAAAATTCAGAATGAAAAAAGAATAGTTGAAAAAGTAGATGAGGGATTTAAAGAAAAAAAGAAAATTGTAAGTTATTGTAAAAGTGGGTTTGTATTTAATTCAAAAAGCCCTGACAATATATGCTACTTAAAATCGGAAATACCTTTAAAAATTAATGGTTTTAATAAAGAAAAAAAATGCAGTGTTAGGAAGCAGATTTGTCAATAAATGCAGCTTTTTTAAAAGTCCAATGGATTCCATTAAGTTGGGCATTATTTTGGTAGATTATAATTTATCAAAAGAAGAAGAATTTTCCATCGATGAAATAGAAAATAAAATGTTATCTTTTCCCTACCAAAACAAATTTTTATTAATTCCGATTTTACACTAATATTTATTTCTTCCAATACATACATATATTTAATATTTAAAAGATGAAACGAAGTCGCCAAATTCCCACTGAAACCGAATTTTCCCAGAAAAAATCCTGCCATGATTGCACAGAACTGAAAACATATATAGATAATATGTTCAAACAACAAACAGGTAATTTATTTTAATATATTTATTTTACTTAAAACTAATCATTTTTGTTATATATTTCATATATTTCAGAAATATTAAAGGAGCAAAATAAAAAAAATAATGGAAGCATTAGCAGCACAAAATGTCCTTACCAAAATTCTAGTAAAGCAGGATGAAACATCCAATATGCTTTCAAACCTGTTTCCAATAAATTCAGAAAAAAATTTAAATGAAATTGAAAATCAAATTAATGAGAATAATAAACATTTATATGTAAGTACATAATTAAATTTTTGAAAAAATACAAATATTTAATAAAATGTCTCATATCTATTTCAGGTGACAACAATAAAGAACCTTATAAGAAAAAATATTGTGAAAAATATAGGCTTAATCATTTCTGAAGAACTTTTATACACATATAATGTAGATGGGACTCATGAAAAAAAAAGGTTGAAGAATTTCGAAAACATATACAATGCAATAAAAGGTATACTTTTTTTAATTATAACAATAATAATAATTTCCATTATAAACAAATTATTTTATAAATGTCTATTTAAATTTTCAAATTAAATAACTAATTTAATTTTAAATAATTAGTTTATGTATTTGTTTATTTTATTAAATAATATAAATAATATTATTTAATTTATCAATTTTAGATGCAGTAGGAGCTAACCCAGAAATAGATGACATCGAGGGAAGAATTAGAAGAGCACTTAATCTTACAAAAAAGCGACATTTAAAAAAAAATTTAAAAGAAAAAGCATGATAATTAATTTTTTATATATGATCCAATTTCCGTAAAATGTAATTTTTAACATTGAAGTAATTTGTATTTTCTAATTTTTTTTAAAACCAATACTCTATTAACTGAAATAATTTTTAATTTATATTTTTTTAAAGTTAGTTTTAAATGAATTTATTTTAACTTTGGAATAAAAAATTATTTAGTTTTTATTATAAAACTTAGTATTTTTAAATTAAAAAATTTTAATTTTTAAATTTACGTAATTTATATTTTTTTATATTATTAAAACCAATATTCTATTAAAGTCTGAAATAATTTTTAATTAAATTTTTTAAAGTTAAATTTTTAATGAATTTATTTTTACTTTGTAATATTAATTTTCCTTAAAAAATATTTAGTTTTTATTATAAATTAAAAATTTTTTCTTACAATATTTTTTTATATTAAAACTGAATAGTTTTTCGACTCGAGGTTAATTATTTTAATATTATATTCTATGTACTATATATTTTCTAATATTTCAATATTGTTTTATATAATTTTTAAGAAATAGTAACAACTATATTTTAAGGTAATTATACATACACATGTGTCTTACAAATATATATTATTTCTTGAAAATGATATCCAAAGAATACATAATATTGGAAATAATTACATAATATAACTTTAAAACAAATGTCCTCGAGTTCGTATAACTTATTATTTTTATTAAAAACTAATTTCAAAATTAAAGCTACATTGGAGTCTCGGATTATTATCACTTTTCTTATTTTGAAATAAAAGATAATAAAATTTAGCTGCTTTAAAATAAAAAGTAATCTTGTGTATATGTATATACTTAGTGTAATTCCCATGATAGGTCCTTTTAGTACCGGTACTATATAAGTTATTTTAAGTTAATCTTGAGTGAGTGCATTTGAAACTATTCAAGAATAAGTCTTAAAGGTCAGACCTGTGTCAGTTCTCTTGTAATAATATATAATACCGGTATCAAATAAACTCACATGAAAGTAGTTCTTTAAGTTGAACCAGTGACGTATTCATTTGGGACAATATCTGGGGTAGGTTCATATTTTCCGAAATTACACAGGTTCGATGAGTTAAGTTCCGTGACATGTCACAGAGTATGAAAAGGGTGTCAATTAACCCCCTCGTAGGACATCGCCATGTTAAAGTGACAAGTCCCCTCCATATAAAGTGTCAGAACTAGACCCGGTCCCTATCACTTTAGAACTAGCGCGTGACAAGTTTCGTGTCAGTTCTCTTCCCCGCAGGGTTGTAACAATTTGTTACTATATTCCGTTCGCGTACTTTACAAAATTTGCAACGAGAGAGTATGAGAATGATAAATATGACAGTTCGATGATAGAGAATTTTTTACTGGATATTTTTTCTCCAGTAAAAGATATCAAACATATGAATGTTCACAACAAATTATTGATATTTGAAAATGTAAACAAACCAAACAAAACAAAAATTTGGTGAATTCGACATTTTTTAAAGAAAAAATATAAATTAATTACACACGAATATTAAAAAATGATTTGTAATTGGATTAATTATAAATTTATTTCTCATGAATTAGTTTTCAATTGAGTTTGTTGTGAAAAATCATAACAACCTATATCAATATACCGTTTTTAGAACAATTTAATTGAATTTTTTAAAAATAAACAATTGTACTTTTTCCTACTCAATTGTACTGCTTTTTTAACTACCATGTACATTTTTTGTTGATTTCAAATCTGGCAAGCCTAAATAGAGCCTTCAATTGTATATCTACAAGAACCCTTTTGTTTTCGTAGCGTGCTCGTAAAGCACCCCATACTAACGAGAAACTTTCATTGGTCAATGGATATTTATTTACAATAGAACTTGCTGCACCTTTTGCCTTTCTTCTTAAGTACAATAACTTTTGTACGTCTGGCATTCTTATTTTGCTGATGTAAACAGCACTGAACATGTCTCTAAATGAAGGCCACTCTTCATAGGAACCATGAAAGTCAGGTGCATCGCATGGTGGAACGTTGACACCCATATCTGGCGCTTCATAAGTCATGTTTAGTGGATGGTAACTAGATGGATCAAATGCTGAGGAATGAGAAGGACCACTGTCTCTTTGATTGTTTTTAGCGGAAGCTTTGGACATTTTTATAAAATCTATCATCTCAGCTTTGGTCTCTTGATACCTATCCCTACATTCTTCATAAGTGGATTTAGCATTCGCTTTATAATCTGGGCTGACGATTCCGTCATCAGCCATATATACGCCTTCATAAGCACGGCGTAGCGACTGCCAATCCTCTTCTAGTGTTTGCAGTTTTGCCTCTAAAAGAGATTCAGTCAAATCATCACAACCTAGACTTTAAAATTTATTGCAAACACCCATTAAATTTTCTGATTCGTGAATGAATCTAGTACATATTTGGGAACCCATTGTACTTATTTTCTTTTACTATAAACAAAGGAATGTGACTTTTTAGTGAACCCAAAAATAATATGTAATGAAAATTACTATATGACAGTAGAAAAGTACAAAACGAACTATGTACGGAAAGTATTAAACACTGTATGTAGGGTACCTGTAGTAAAATATTTCTAAAGTGACTGACAGCTGACACTATATATTTAAATATTAATTGAAGAATTCCAATAAAATCTACAATTTCAATATGTATCAAAACGAACCTTGAATTAAAAATGCCTATTCGAAAAATAGTAGGGTGTATTTTAATAAAGAACTTTAAAATTAACACCGAAATATATAAAATTAATTTTATATAAATTATTAAAAAAAACAAACTCAGCGTTGTACTAATATTATCAGCCTGTAAAGTGTAGGGTACACAATTAACTGTAACAACAATTACACTACTGATAAATAATTTTCTCTTATTTTCTTTTATGCTTTATTCTTCTTGATATAGTTGAGTACTATCGTATGTAAATTATATTAAGAGAATTTTAATGAGAATAAAGCTAGTAAATAAAAGAAAAAACCACCACCAAATGTACTAATCTACACACAATATTTTAAGAACAAAATAATGTGAAATCGAAATAAATCTTTGTTGTAATAAACGATTTGCAAAATAAAGGGAATAAATTGAAAATTTATTTTTTATTTTAATGAAATTAAAAATTTTTATTTTGCCGATTCTTTGACGGTTTCAGAAGGACCATAAACAAATTTCCAATTGGAACAGTTGGGAATTTGTTGTTTTGTTTGGATAACTCAAACAAAATGGTAAATTTGTTAAAAGAAATGTAACAAATGAAATAGATTTATTTCGACTTGTACTAATTTCAAGGAACCTGAAATATACTTACTTCTCTTTCAATTGCTGTGGAGACCAGAAAATAAATATAAAAAAAAAGTGGTATTTGCTAGTGTTGTATTTCAGTTTTTATTTGGTGTTTATAATATTTAAATTTCTTGTTTTGTTTTGTACAATGTAGGTTTTAAATATTTCACTGGTGTTTTGTTTATTAGTTCAATTATGTTTTTTTGTTGTAAAAGAATAAATGTATGTGTTTTTGTGGGAACCACTCACGACACTTATTTTTTAAGTTTGAATGTCTTTTTCTTGTTTGTATGAATGTTTGTTTAATTGTTTATATAAATGTTTGTGAATTTGTTTTATTAAAAATTCTTTTATATTTATATGTTTGTATTTATTTTTTGTTTGTTTTTTTTTGGCCGCTGGCGTTCGGTTGTAGTCGAAGACTGACTTCTTCGTCCTCCTTAGCCGCGAAAGTATGGCTTGGGCCGTACTTACACCGCCGCTGAATAAGTGGCCGATGCGGCTTAGTCGAGGTCGATCAAGTCGTTGCCAGATCGATCCTCGACATCACGCCCCTCTTGCACTGGTGCAATGTTTAATACCCCCGACAACTGACCCACAGCTGCAACAATCTGTTGTACGGTGACTGCAACAGGTTGACGACGGTGTGGTTGGGGACGACGACCTTGTACCAGCTGACGGCGACGTTGAGGTTGTTGCCGACGGCGACGTGAAGATTGCATCTGCTGGCGAGGTTGTGGTCGACGACGTTGTTGTTGACGACGTTGAGGTTGTTGTTGTGGTTGTTGTTGACGTCGTTGTGGTTGTTGTTGGAGACGTTGTCGTTGTTGTTGACGTCGTTGTGGTTGTTGACGATGTCGTTGGGACCGCTCAGGATGCAACATGGTGTGATGCAAATCTCCACACTCCTGGCAGGCCTCCATTGAAATACATCCTCCGACTAGATGCGTGCGGGCGAAGCAATTGGAACAATAGCGATGGACCCGAACGACATATTGTCTTTGTTTTACCGTCATCTTCTTAAACTGCTTGCAGTAGCGAAGAGGGTGGTAGCGGAAACAGACTAGGCACATTTCTGACTCTGGGAACTGATCCATCTGCAAAGGGAAAAGAAGAACAAAACAAAGCAGCAGTAATGGGTTCGCTAACACAAATTTGAACAATTTGAACAGAACATATAGGACATACAGAACATACAATCCTAGTCAATCTACTGACTTATCACAAATCGGAAGCATGCAAAGTTTGACTATTGGTCTGGTAACGGTTCCAGACGCTGTTCGGACGTCAGCTACACGAACGCGTTTATCTTTTCCAGTATGGACTAATTCAATTCGTCCCATTTTCCACTCATTTGGAGGTAGGAGCTCATCCTTTATGACTACAAAGTCATCTTTCTGCAAATCCCGCTGTGGGTTTTTCCACTTGTAACGCTTGTGAAGTTCATGAAGATATTCAGTCTTCCAGCGTTGACTAAGACGATGATGAAAGGCCTTGAGCCGCTCCCATCGATTTATTATCGATAAATTCTCTGAAGGCAGTTCAGGGGCGAACATCAATGGAGCTCCTCTTAAAAAGTGACCAGGAGTTAGGGCTTGTAAATGTTCAGGATCCTCGGACATAGGGGAAATAGGTCTGGTGTTTAGGACACTTTCAATTCGGGTTAATAGAGTCGAAAACTCTTCAAAGTTAAACTTTTGGTTGCCAGCTATTTTCTGAAAGTGAATCTTAAAACTTTTTACACCAGCCTCCCAAAGACCTCCCATATGTGGAACACTAGGAGGAATCAACTTCCACTCAAACCCATGGACTGCATATTTTTTACTTATATCTTCAGCTGATTTTCGTAAAAATGAGAGAGATTCCTTTCGCAACGATCTACTGGCGCCGAGAAAATTTGTGCCATTATCGGACATAAGGCGTAACCCCCTTCTACCCGTAAACCGTGCGAAAGCTGCTAAAAACGCGTCGCAGGATAAGCTAGAGCACGCTTCCAGATGTATAGCTTTTGTTGAAAAGCAAACAAATATACAAGCGTATCCTTTCATATAAGGAGAGTTTCGCAAGTTACCTGATTTTATCTGAAAAGGTCCCGCAAAATCAACACCCGCATAAGTGAATGGTAAAGAAAAGGAGCATCTTTCCGTGGGCAGAGCTGCCATAATCTGAGACTTCAGCTTTTGCTTATAACGGACGTACACTAAACAATGGTGAACACATTTTTTAACAGTTCTTTTAAGTCCTGGTATATAGAATTGTCTTTGAATTGCATTCATCATTAGGGAAATGTCAGCATGCAACAGAGTTTTATGAGTAAAGTCAAGAAACATTCTGCAGAAGTTAGACGAGTTTGGAATAATGAAAGGGTACCTTTCATCATAGGTAAGGTATGAATTGGCTAATCTACCGTTAACTCTCATAGTTCCATTCGAATCCAGAAATGGGTTCAAAGTGAGAATAGAACTTTTCTTTGAAATTAGTTTCGCATCAGAGAGCTGACTATACTCCTGGGGATAATAAACTCGTTGAGTTAGTTTGATCAGCATAACTTTTGATTCTTTAAGCTCCGTAAGGCTAAGAGTCAAACTAGAATGCTGAACCTTTAAACCTTTCTTCCTGATAGCGTTAATAAACCTGAGCACGTAAGCTGTAACAGCAAGAGCTCGAGGATAAGAGGAGAACAATTTTCCAATTGGAACAATTGGGAATTTGTTGTTTTGTTTGGAAAACTCAAACAAAATTGTAGATTTGTTACAAGAGATGTAACAAATGAAATAGATTTATTTCGACTTGTACTAATTTCAAGGAACCTGAAATATACTTACTTCTCTTCAATAGCTGTGGAGACCAGTTAATAAGTTAAATAAAAGGATGTAGTGTAAATGTAGATTGTATTGTAATTTGGATTTATTTGTTGTTTATAATATTTCAATGTTTTGTACAGTTTGATTGTTTTGTGAGATTTTCACTGTTTTAGTTTATTTGTTCAGTGTTAATTGTATAAATTTTTTTTGTATTTTTGTTTTTAAATAAATATTTGTGTGAGTGGGAACCACTTCACTGTTTTAATTTTGTTTTTAATGTTTTCTTTGTTAGTGTAGATGTTTGTTTAATTGTTTTTTTTTTTTTAATAAACGTTTGTGGTTTTGTTTAAATTGTTTTATTTAAATGTTTGGTTTTGTTTTTTTTGTTATTTAAGTTTTTATGGCCGCTGGCGCTCGGATAAAGTCGAAGACTGACTTCTTCTTCTATTTAACCGCGTAAGCCCGGCTTTGGTCGTGCTTACACCGCCGCAGAATTTGTGGCCGATGCGGCTCAGTCGAGGTCGATCAAGTCGTTACCAGATCGATCCTCGAAATCTCGCCCCTCTTGCACTGGTGCAAGATTCAAGGCCCAGACAGCTGACCTACGGCAGAGACGATTCTTTGCACCAGCTCTTGGGCATCTGGAGCAGCACCAGTTCTTCTACGTATGTTACGTTGACGACGACGTAACGGTTGTTGAAGGCTACGTTGTGTGGTTGTTTGACGACGACGTTGGGATTTTTGACGTCGTTGAGGTGATTGTTGTTGTCGACGACGACGTTGTAGTTGTCTGCGACGCCTTGTTTGTTGTTGTTGGCGACGTTGTGTTGGTTGCTGTTGCCGAAGTTGTGGTTGTTGTTGACGAATTGATTGCTGTCGACGTTGATTTTGTTCCGGATGTAACATAGTATGATGGAGATCTCCACACTCCTGGCAGGCTTCCATTGACGTACATCCTCCAATTAGATGCGTCCGGGCAAAGCAGTTACTGCAGTATCGATGTACCCGAACTACGTATTTTCTCTGCTTTACGGTCATCTGTTTAAACTGCTTGCAGAAGCGAAGAGGGTGGTAGCGGAAGCAGACCAGGCACATTTCTGACTCTGGGAACTGATCCATTTGCAAAGGGAAAAGAAGAACAAAACAAAGCAGCAGTAATGGGTTCGCTAACACAAATTTGAACAATTGGAACAGAACATATAGGAAATACAGAACATACAATCCTAGTCAATCTACTGACTTATCACAAATTGGAAGCATGCAAAGTTTGACTATTGGTCTGGTAACGGTTCCAGACGCTGTTCGGACGTCAGCTACGCGAACGCGTTTATCTTTTCCAGTATGGACTAATTCAACTCGTCCCATTTTCCACTCATTTGGAGGTAGGAGCTCATTCTTTATGACTACAAAGTCATCTTTCTGCAAATCCCGCTGTGGGTTTTTCCACTTGTAACGCTTGTGAAGTTCATGAAGATATTCAGTCTTCCAGCGTTGACTAAGACGATGATGAAAGGCCTTGAGCCGCTCCCATCGGTTTATTATCGATAAATTCTCTGAAGGCAGGGGCGAATATCAATGGAGCTCCTCTTAAAAAGTGACCAGGAGTTAGGGCTTGCAAATCTTCAGGATCCTCGGACATAGGGGAAAGAGGTCTGGAGTTTAGGACACTTTCAATTCGGGTTAATAGAGTCGAAAACTCTTCAAAGTTAAACTTTCGGTTGCCGGCTATTTTCTGAAAGTCAATCTTAAAAATTTTTACACCAGCCTCCCAAAGACCTCCCATATGTGGAGCACTAGGTGGAATGTACTTCCACTCAAAACCATGGACTGCATATTTTTTATTTATATCTTCTGCCGATTTTCGTAAAAATAAGAGAGATTCCTTTCGCAACGATCTACTGGCGCCGAGAAAATTTGTGCCATTATCGGACATAAGGCGTTTAGGCAACCCTCTTCTACCCGTAAACTGTGCGAAAGCTGCTAAAAACGCGTCGGAGGATAAGCTAGAGCACGCTTCCAAATGTATAGCTTTTGTTGAAAAGCAAACAAATATACAAGCGTATCCTTTCATATAAGGAGAGTTTCGTAAGTTACCTGATTTTATCTGAAAAGGTCCCGCAAAATCAACACCCGCATAAGTGAATGGTAAAGAAAAGGAGCATCTTTCCGGGGGCAGAGCTGACATAATCTGAGACTTCAGCTTTTGCTTATAACGGACGCACACTAAACAATGGTGAACACATTTTTGAACAGTTCTTTTAAGTCCTGGTATATAGAATTGACTTTGAATTGCATTCATCATTAGGGAAATGTCAGCATGCAACAGAGTTTTATGAGTAAAGTCAAGAAACATTCTGCAGAAGTTAGACGAGTTTGGAATAATGAAAGGGTACCTTTCATCATAGGTAAGGCATGAATTGGCTAATCTACCGTTAACTCTCATAGTTCCATTCGAATCCAGAAATGGGTTCAAAGTGAGAATAGAACTTTTCTTTGAAATTAGTTTCACGTCAGAGAGCTGACTATACTCCTGGGGATAATAAACTCGTTGAGTTAGTTTGATCAGCATAACTTTTGATTCTTTAAGCTCCGTAAGGCTAAGAGTCAAACTAGAATGCTGAACCTTTAAACCTTTCTTCCTGATAGCGTTAATAAACCTGAGCACGTAAGCTGTAACAGCAAGAGCTCGAGGATAAGAGGAGAATCTATCGATTAGACTGTTGTCAGCCGGTGTTAAAAAACAAATTGAAATCCTCCTTTTTTTCCGGAAGAACTTAAGGTAGAGAACTATATTTGGGCCAATTTGCTTGGGAATCCAAGAGCCACATTGGTCCATACCACCACAATGGGTTGTTAACAAGATCTTGTGGTTTACAACCGGGAGTGCCAAGATCAGCTGGGTTGTGATCCGTTGGAACGTGATTCCAACTGGCATTACCAACATTCTCTATAATCTGAGTTGTTCTGTTAGCTACATACGTTTTCCAGACTGATGGAGGTTTTTGTAGCCAAGCTAAAACAATGGTTGAGTCTGACCATAAGTAAAGCTTTGGGCTGCAGAATGGAAGGTTCGTAAGTACTTGCTTTACGAGTCTGGAAAGCAGAAAAGCTCCGCATAACTCAAGTCGAGGTAAACTTATCCGTTGCAAGGGCGCAACTTTACTTTTAGCAGAAAGCAGATGTGAATACCGAATACCAGAGTTCTTGGATACCACATATAGTGTAGCGCAATAAGCCTGCTCAGAAGCGTCACAAAATCCATGTATTTGGATATTATATTGAGGATGGTAGTGGATCCATCTTGGAATTTCAATGGATTCGATAGTAGGGAAACTATCAACAAATATTTTCCATTTATCAAGAAATTGTGGTTTGACCTCGTCATCCCAACCGACCCCGTCTTGCCATAATTCTTGTAAAAGAATCTTGGCTTGAATAATAATAGGCGTAAGCCATCCTGCGGGATCGAAAAGATTAGCAACAGCAGAGAGAATCTGCCTTTTTGTTGCCGATGATGTCGAATTTAATTGTTCTACTTTATAAGTGAAGGAATCACTTATAGCATTCCAACGAATTCCCAAAGTTTTTGTTGAACTTGAATCATAGAGTTTCAAAAATATGTGTTCAATAAATCATCAGATGATATCTGAGACAACAAATCTGGATGATTTGCCGTTATCTTTTTTAATGGGAACCCTGCTGATTTTATAGTATCAATCAGCTCTTTTTGAGCTTCCATTGCCGATGACAATGAATGGCCTCCGGACAATATGTCGTCAACATATGTCTCTTTTCTCAAAATTCTTGCAGATAAAGGACTATCTTTTTCAGAATCTGATGCTAATTGTAGAAGGGTCCTAATTGCCAAACAAGGTGCACATGCTATACCGAAAGTTACCGTTGTCAACTCAAAATCTTCAATTGGACTTGAAATATTTTTCCGAAACAAAATCTTTTGATACGAACGATCAGATTCATGAACTAATATTTGGCGATACATTTTCTCAATGTCTCCATTAAAGACATACTTATATAAACGCCAATTTAGAATGATTGTCATTAAATCTGCCTGTAAGGTTGGTCCGACGTGGAGAACGTCATTTAATGACCTTGAACTTTTTGTCTTTCGTGATCCGTTGAAAACGATACGAACTTTTGTTGACGCACTTTCAGGTCTAAAAACCGCATGATGTGGCAAATAATATGAAAAGAACTTTCCATTTGTTCAATATGTAAATATTGCTTCTTTGCCAAATATCGAGACGCTTGCAAAAACTCAGATTCTGGGAATTCACTTTTAAACGGAAGTTTAACTACATATCTACCATCGGACTGTCGAGAAGTTGTCTCTTTATATAAATTTTCGCAAAAGAGATCTGCTTCTGATTGATTAGCTATTTGCGGAATTTCCTCTATTTCCCAGAACTTTCTTAATATTGAGATAACACTTTCATTTTCGCTTTGTAAGTTGTCTATAGCCGTAAGTGAAATTGTGTGCAATTTCATTGGACCGTAAATGTACCAGCCATAAATAGAATTCTGAGCAATTAAATTACCTAAAACGTTTTTCTTTAGACCATCAAGTATGATGTGAGGAATTATGTCACTTCCTAGCAGCATATCTATTTGAGCAGATATTAAGAAATTGGGATCAGCTAAGCATAAGTCTCTGATGTCGGAGAGATCAGAAATTTCTATTTAACAGCTAGGCATGAAATTTGTCAAATTGGAAACAATTATGAATTTTGTTGTTAACTTGAATTCATGCCTTTGATTGTATAAAGTAATAGAACTTACTTTATTAGCATTAGCTACTACTGTACCACCCAATCCGCAGATTTCGAAATTTGCATTTTCCGTAATCAGGTTTAGCCTTTTTGAAATTCTACTAGTCGGAAATGATCTTTTTGAACCAGAATCTATCAGTGCTCTGACTGTAAATGGCTCACCACAGTGCAAAATTTGAACAAGCGCTGTTGGAAGTAAGATATCATCCTGATTAACGGTTAAATGGGCCTGAGTGTTAGTTGCATCTGTAGTTGATTTGTAACAGCATGGATTTCCTGAGAGATCAGTACTTTCTTCTGTGTCTTCATTCTCAATATCTATCGGATCCGCATGAAAAGCGTTAACCGACGAATTTTTCTTAGTAATCTTTTTTTGAGAATTTTGATTATCATTTTTATTCAAATGTAACATGCTGTGGTGTTTATTACCACATTGATCACATCTGTTTACACTTGTACATTCAGAAACTTTATGAACTGGTGATAAACAGTTAATGCAGATTTGATTCTGTGTGACAAAATCGTTTCGTTGCTGCTTAGAGAAGTTTGAAAATTTTTGACAAAATCTTAAGTAATGATTTTTGTCGCATAACTTACAATGAGGCACCCGAAGGGCTTTGTTATTTTTCTGACTATTGGAATTATTAGAATTATAATTCATTTGATTTCCTTCATTATTTTTTGGTATAGAGCCTTAAATTGTATATCTACAAGAACCCTTTTGTTTTCGTAGCGTGCTCGTAAAGCACCCCATGCTAACGAAAAACTTTCATTGGTCAATGGATATTTATTGACAATGGAACTTGCTTCACCTTTTGCCTTTCTTCTTAAGTACAATAACTTTTGTACGTCTGGCATTCTTATTTTACTGATGTAAACAGCACTGAACATGTCTCTAAATGAAGGCCACTCTTCATAGGAATCATGAAAGTCAGGTGTATCGCATGCACCATATCTGGCGCTTCATAAGTCATGTTTAGTGGATGGTAACTAGATGGATCAAATGCTGAGGAATGAGAAGGACCACTGTCTCTTTGATTGTTTTCAGCGGAAGCTTTGGACATTTTTATAAAATCTATCATCTCAGCTTTGGTCTCTTGATACCTATCCCTACATTCTTCATAAGTGGATTTAGCATTCGCTTTATAATCTGGACTGACGATTCCGTCATCAGCCATATATACGCCTTCATAAGCACGGCGTAGCGACTGCCAATCCTCTTCTAGTGTTTGCAGTTTTGCCTCTAAAAGAGATTCAGTCAAATCATCACAACCTAGACTTGAAAATTTATTGCAAACACCCATTAAATTTTCTGATTCGTGAATGAATCTAGTACATATTTGGGAACCTATTGTACTTATTTTCTTTTACAATAAACAAAGGAATGTGACTTTTTAGTGAACCCAAAAATAATATGTAATGAAAATTACTATATGATAGTAGAAAAGTACAAAACGAACTATGTATGGAAAGTATTAAACACTCTATGTAGGGTACCTGTAGTAAAATATTTCTAAAGTGACTGACAGCTTACACTATATAATCAAATATTAATTGAAGAATTCCAAAAAAAATCTACAATTTCAATATGTATCAAAACGAACCTTGAATTAAAAATGCCTATTCGAAAAATAGTAGGGTGTATTTTAATAAAGAACTTTAAAATTAACACCGAAATATATAAAATTAATTTTATATAAATTATTAAAAAAAAAACAAACTCAGCGTTGTACTAATATTATCAGCCTGTAAAGTGTAGGGTACACAATTAACTGTAACAACAATTACACTACTGATAAATAATTTTCTCTTATTTTCTTTTATGCTTTATTCTTCTTGATATAGTTGAGTACTATCGTATGTAAATTATATTAAGAGAATTTAATGAGAATAAAGCTAGTAAATAAAAGAAAAAACCACCACCAAATGTACTAATCTATACACAATATTTTAAGAACAAAATAATGTGAAATCGAAATAAATCTTTGTTGTAATAAACGATTTGCAAAATAAAGGGAATAAATTGAAAATTTATTTTTTATTTTAATGAAATTAAAAATTTTTATTTTGCCGATTCTTTGACGGTTTCAAAAGGACCATAAACAATTTTCCAATTGGAACAATTGGGAATTTGTTGTTTTGTTTGGATAACTCAAACAAAATTGTAGATTTGTTGCAAGAGATGTAACAAATGAAATAGATTTATTTCGACTAATTTCAAGGAACCTGAAATATACTTATTTCTCTTCAATAACTGTGGAGACCAATTAATAAGTTAAATAAAAGGATGTAGTGTAAATGTAGATTGTATTGTAATTTGGATTTATTTGTTGTTTATAATATTTCAATGTTTTGTACAGTTTGATTGTTTTGTGAGATTTTCACTGTTTTAGTTTATTTGTTCAGTGTTAATTGTATAATTTTTTTTTGTATTTTTATTATACCCTCCACCACCATCAGTGGTGATAGAGGGTATATATAAGTTTGTCGTTCCGTGTGTAACACCAAGAAATATTCATCTAA